TCCCCCCCCACCGACACAATGACACATACATCATCCCCATAGAACACACATGACACATACATCATCCCCATCCTTAATAGAACACACATGACACATCATCACCATCCTTCATAGAACATACATGACACATCATCCCCCATAGCACACACATGACACATACATCATCCCCCATAGCACACACATGACACATACATCATCCCCCATAGCACACACATGACACATACATCATCCCCGTCCTCCATAGAACACACATGACACATACATCATCCCCCATAGAACACACATGGCACATACATCATCCCCCATAGCACACACATGACACATACATCATCCCCGTCCTCCATAGAACACACATGACACATACATCATCCCCCATAGAACACACATGACACATACATCATCCCCATCCTTCATAGAACATACATGACACATATCATCCTCATCCCCAATAGAACACACATGACACATACATCATCACCATCCCCCATAGAACACACATGACACATACATCATCCCCCATAGAACACACATGACACATACATCATCCCCCATAGCACACACATGACACATACATCATCCCCCATAGCACACACATGACACATACATCATCCCCCATAGCACACACATGACACATACATCATCCCCATCCCCCATAGAACACACATGACACACGGAGAAGGTGCCAAAGGGGAATTTGCTCACATTGGACGGATCTCCTCTTACTTCCTGTTCTGGATCTGGGACAGGAAGTGAAGGGAAATCTCTCCAGCAGGTCAGAGGTCATACATGTTCTCAGCTTTGTCCCGAGGATTCAGTGTCCCAGAGAGTTAGGTTACGGGTGGGATCATGTGACTTGCATGTAACATACGTGTTCTCTGGCTTCCATAGTGGATGAGAATGAGCGTGCTCTCTGCTCCGTGTATTGTAAACAAAAGTCACTTTCCTCTCCTTCTGATCTCCTGCAGCCTCTTTGCAGCCACTTCCTGTCTACACGAGTCCAGAGATGGCTGCATGACAGGTTTCCTGAGGGTGACAACACAGGAGGAAAATTGGGAGGCAAGAGCAGAGCATTGTCACCCTATAACAGGAAGTGCCTGAGCAAGGACTGAGTGTGGTCACGCTATAACAGGAAGTGCCTGAACAAGGACAGAGCATTGTCACCCTATAACAGGAAGTGCCTGAACAAGGACAGAGCATTGTCACCCTATAACAGGAAGTGCCTGAGCAAGGACAGTGTTGTCACCCTATAACAGGAAGTGCCTGAACAAGGACAGAGTGTTGTCACCCTATAACAGGAAGTGCCTGCACAATGACAGAGTGTCACCCTCTAACAGGAAGTGTCTGAACAAGGACAGAGCATTGTCACCCTATAACAGGAAATGTCTGGACAAGCACAGTGTTGTCACCCTATAACAGGAAGTGCCTGAGCAAGGACAGAGCGTTGTCACCCTATAACAGGAAGTGGTTGAGCAAGGACAGAGCATTGTCACCCTATAACAGGAAGTGCCTGAACAAGGACAGAGCGTTGTCACCCTATAACAGGAAGTGTCTGAGCAAGGACAGAGCATTGTCACCTTATAACAGGAAGTGCCTGAACAAGGACAGAGCGATGTCACCCTATAACAGGAAGTGCCTGAACAAGGACAGAGCGATGTCACCCTATAACAGGAAGTGTCTGAACAAGGACAGTGTTGTCACCCTATAATAGGAAGTGCCTGAGCAAGGACAGAGCGTTGTCACACTATAACAGGAAGTGCCTGAGCAAGAACAGAGCGATGTCACCCTATAACAGGAAGTGTCTGAATAAGGACAGAGC